CAAGGACAACAATACGTCCCTACAGGAAGGTATCATGCTCAAAGTCTCCAGTCATTGACCTTCACCTCTTCAATGCCAAACAAAATCAATACACTTTGTCGTTCTAAACCCAGTTCTTGTCTGGTAGTCAGTTCCCTAAACACTCGTTCATGCTTAACTTTTAATACTCGTCCGTATCTTCTTTCAATACTCGTCCGTATTAAACCAAACATTCATCCGTGTTTAATTCTTGATACCCGTCCGTATCTTCTTTCAATACTCGTCCGTATTGAACCAAACACTCGTTCGTGCTTAACCTTTGATACCCGTCTGTATCTTCTTCCAATACTCGTCCGTATTGATTCAAACACTCGTCCGTGTTTAACCTTTTGATACTCGCCTGTATCTTCTTTCAATACTCGTCCGTATTGATTCAAACACTCGTCCGTGTTTAAACTTTTGATACTCGCCTGTATCTTCTTTCAATACTCGTCTGTATTGAATCAAACACTCGTATGTGTTTAACCTTTGATACTCGTCCGTATCTTCTTTCAATACTCGTCCGTATTGAATCAAACACTCGTCCGTGTTTAACCCTTTGATACTCGTCCGTATCTTCTTTCAATACTCGTCCGTATTGATTCAAACACTCGTCCGTGTTTAAACTTTTGATACTCATATGTATCTTCTTTCAATACTCGTCTGTATCTTCCTTTAATACTCTTTCGTATTGAACCAAACACTCGTCCGTGTTTAACCTTTTGATACTCGTCCGTATCTTCTTTCAATACTCGTCTGTATCTTCCTTTAATACTCTTTCGTATTGAACCAAACACTCGTCCGTGTTTAACCTTTTGATACTCGTCCGTATCTTCTTTCAATACTCGTCCGTATTGAATCAAACACTCGTCTGTGTTTAAACTTTTGATACTCGTTCGTATCTTCTTTCAATACTCGTCCGTATTGATTCAAACACTCGTACGTGTTTAACTTTTGATACTCACTTGTATCTTCTTTCAATACTCGTCCGTATTGAATCAAACACTCGTCCATGTTTAACCTTTGATACTCATCCGTATCTTCTTTCAATACTCGTCCGTATTGAATCAAACACTCGTCCGTGTTTAAACTTTTGATACTCACCTGTATCTTCTTTCAATACTCGTCCGTATTGATTCAAACACTCGTCTGTGTTTAACCTTTGATACTCGTCCGTATCTTCTTTCAATACTCGTCCGTATTGATTCAAACACTCGTCCGTGTTTAACCTTTGATACTCGTCCGTATCTTCTTTCAATACTCGTCCGTATTGATTCAAACACTCTTCCGTGTTTAACCTTTGATACTCGTCCGTATCTTCTTTCAATACTCGTCCGTATTGATTCAAACACTCGTCCGTGTTTAACCTTTGATACTCGTCTGTATCTTCTTTCAATACTCGTCTGTATTGATTCAAACACTCGTCCGTGTTTAACCTTTCTTGATGCTCGTCCGTGTCGCTTATCTAAACAATCATCATGTCGTAACCCATGTTTCCTTCTTCGAACCAAAGACCGCCTCTTGGCTAGGTTCTTTCCATATGCTTTGTCTTAGAACCTGAGATCTCCCTTTGGCTAGGTTCTCTGTCAAATCACTCTCATGTGTCACCTTAGGATCGTAGGTCGCCCGTAGACCTCGTTCGTTGTCTTTTCATACCAACCATTTGTCTTGTATTGGCATCATGCCACGTTACAAGTCCAATCTCTGTCTCTTCATTGAAAAAAAAGGGGGGGGGGGCAAGATTTATTTCCCCAGCAGATATCAAAATAAATAAAGAAAACACTTACTCTCTCCCTTAGGACAAATTTTTGGCATTGATATTTAATCATCTTCAACCTTGAACTTCCGAAAGGCATGTGCTAATCGTACTTTCAGGTTTAAGACGATTAAATAGGGGCAGCTGTAATACCCCAAATTTGTCCTACCCTTTTTCTTCTATCTGGCTTACGCATCTCGCATTTTACTCGTGCACATAACTCCATTAGGTCATTTAACATTGCATACATTCACTAACGACATAACTTGGAAAGGGGCCGAGAACCTTCAGGAATTAGGGTTTTAATATCGGTTTTTCAGTAGAGATTGCTTTGAGCTATGGTTTGGGTCTTCTTCACTATTTCGAGCCTCATCATCCATCTCCAAGAGCTCTTTTAGCCAATTATATTGTGGGCTCTGCAAGTCGAGATATCTTTGAAGATTGAGGTGCAAAAGTTTGAGTTATGACATAAAGATGTTATTGTGGAATCATATGGTGATCAAGATGTTGTTGTTATTTGTTGCTTCTAGTACAAGTCATTCAATTGGATTTCATTCAGGAGACTCTGCATTATGTATGGAAATTCATAAGGACCAGGGTTTGAGAAGCAGTATTTGTGTTGCAATCATCGCTTGGATTGGGGTTCTTTTCAGTGCGCTTACGTTATCAAGTGAATTCAGTTCTGTTTAGCCATAACTATCATACGGTTTGGTTCAACGTATTGAGTTCTCGCTTGGTCCCTCCATCACCTCAAGCTACCTTGATTGTCCAAATTCATCAAAAGCAGGTATTCAAGGAATTGGCTATTCTGTTACTCGTCAAGTTGAGATATAGTGGAGTTTGTATTGCGAAATGCGAGCTATGGCGCAAGGGATGGGGATGGATTGTTTGTCGTGGAAGTTTGCTTAAGATTGGAAATTTGAATTGAATATGGGGTTTCATTAAGGTTGGGAGATTAATTCGAGATATTCATTCAAGTGTAGGATGGGAATCATAATCAAGGCATTATTCTCTCAATTTGTTCGTGGCTCGTTAAGCGATCTAATTTGGATTAATATTAAAGTAGATTTAAAAGATTCAATGAATTTAAATTTGGTTCTCATCAAAGTTGTTGGGAATTTGCAGATTTTGGAAAGGGAACACATTTGGATTTCTTGGAATTTAAGAAAGGAAATATGAGTACGACCGGAGTCTGAGTCTTGTAGAAAAGAATTTTTCCTTGGCAAACAGTGCGAACAATTCATGAATGATAGTTACTTAAATAAATAAAAAAGGCATCTTCCAATGACAAGTACATGATTGATAACATTGAAGACTTACTGTCATTAGTTGCTACAATACAAGAATTTCTAGTTCATAGGAAAACAGGAAAAAAAACAAGTATATATTGTTATTGAAGTTGGTCTTATTCCTCCGCTTGTGAGTCTTATTCAAAATGCAAATTTTGGCCTAAAAAGAGAAGCTGCTTGGGTAACAACAAATGCTACGGCTGGTGGGACTCTTATGCAGATCAAGTACTTGGTGAATCAGGGTTGCATAAAACCATTATGTGATTTTCTTGGCTGCCCCGGTCCAAAAATTGTCGCTGTCTATTTAGAGGGTCTAAAGAATATTTTGATTGCTGGGAAAGCAGAGAATAGTCAAGGTAACTCTGAAGATTCCAACTTGTATGCTCAAAGGATAGAGGATTCCGAGGGATTGGAGAAGATTGAAAGCCTGCAGAATCATGACAATAATGAAATATATGAGAAGGCTGTTAAACTTCTTGAAACATACTGGTGCGAAGAGGAAAGTGAGATACTACCATCAAGCCATGGTGATCAATCTGGTTTCAACTTTGCAAGCAAAGAGCCTTTATTACCACCTGGTGGATTCAACCTCAGTTGATGATATTTTCTTGAATCTGAGCCTTGTGCCTGGATACAATCTGGTCTAGTATATGGAACAGAGGCGTCGGCTGCCTTGTCAGTTGTGTTTCAAAATACATACAATGCTAAGGCAGTTTTGATAGTACATGATGCAACACAAGTCCAAAAGGCATCAAACCTTTGTTTTACACTTACACATCAATCCAAAGTTTCAAAGGGCTAGCTCAATCCTGCTACACAACATTAACCTGCCCTGCATTTTGAACCAAGTAAATCAGTTGATATCCACATCTAATTAGGAGCAAAATCAAAAAATCAGTTGGGAGAGGGACTACTAAAAAATCGGTCCTGCATAACCACATCAAAAAACAGTTAATTCAACAACCATCTAACAATTTCTAAACCTCCTAACCGTTTTCAAAACTGAATTCCCAAATGTCCATAACCCAGCATAACAGCCCTGCTGTAACTGTTAACAGATCTAACAGCATATGCATAACAGAATATCATAACTACCTAACCACCTAACAGAATCGTAACAGAAAAGGCAGCAGATCATAATAGAATGCAATAGAAGGAGAGAGAGGATCGATTCACCAGACAAAAGAATAACATAAACTATCAAGGAGACTTACCTTTAAACCTTCAACGCTCTTTTTGAAACTCCATTCAATTTTCTCTCGGCAAAAACTTCACTCCATTCTTCATCTTCATACATCATCAACCTTCTATTCCTCACCTCTGAACCTCCTTCTTCATCCTTTCTCTGCTCACTCTCTCTTACGTACCTTCACCATCAACAACCATCCACGATTCAACATAGAAAACTCAGAAAAAAAAGGAGGAACAATTATCTACAGAGAGAAAAACTTCACAAAGGAACTCACCTCTCTCTCTTTGAACCGCATCAAGATCATTCAACAACCTTCAACCGCATCAAATTCGATCACCGTTTCCATAACAATTTCTACAACAAATATGTGACGTCTTCTCCATATTGCAACGACATCGCATCAAGATTTCCGCATCTGCTTCAATATGCTTCAACTTTCATTACAACAACATAATTGAATCACACTAATCGCACAAAACAACACCGATATGCAAATACGCAAATGCACAAAACATCAATTCGCATAAAAGCAGAAGAGGAAAGATCAGGAATCGAAGAGAAAGATGAAGAGCAAGGCGCTCACTTGAGTTCCTTGTTTTTTTCGTCATTTTCACTGTTGTAAAGCCGCCGGAGTGTTTCCAACCGGTAAGACTCGATATTCCGTTGTTCTTCGCTCTTTACTTCTTATCGTTGATTGCATCAGGATGGAGAAGCAATAGAGTCAGAGGAAGGCGAAAGGAAAATAATGAGACGGCGGTGGAGTCGTCAGCTAAGTGAAGTTGACGGTTGTTATGATGCTGAGATAGCGGCGTCTAGAACCAGAGGATGAAGTCGCCGTTGTTTTGAGATGAGAAAGCGAAGGAGGGAATAGAACTCGGTGGAAGTCCAATAGCCACTTTTTGAACCCTAATCTCTTTCCCTTTACAATTAATTTGTTTAATTTTCCTTTTCTCAATTCAATCATAAAGATGAAGTGGACTGATGAATGCATGATGGTGGGCCCAACCGGATTAGCCTAGGCCCGTTGTTGTTTTTGGAATCCGAAGAAGTTACAAAAATCAAAATTGGACTAAGATCTTGGTAAAAGGGGAATGGATCGACCCCAACCTTAGGCCATGGAATGAGTTCGATATCTCACCCTAAGCCCGTTATGGTTTTTAATAAAGTTAATGATTAAACAAAAAATTGCTTTTTGGACTTGTGACAGCTTGGGCCTTGCACCTAGGATTGCTTCTGCAGAACCTCCTGTATCCATTAAGATTTCATGATAGTGTTGATATAACTTTCGCGATGGAAAATGCTTGGAGATTAACTTTTGATCACCCATGCGGAGCAACTTCTGTAGAGTCTTCTTATCGCGTGCGTGGTTTTGAAGAGGCAACGGACCTTCTCCGTTCGGTATCATCGCAATCTCATTTTATTCCTAATTCCTGCACTTTACCACTTTCTAGATACCATGAGAAGTAGGAAATAAAAAGCGTGCGCTCGAAGTCGCTGTTTAAAGACCTGTAGCAGGCATTCCGCACTTCATTACTATATGTGTTGTGCTTGTGTTTGTTTACTTTCTTGTCGATCGATGAGTCACTCAATTTAGCAATTGAGATCACGACTTCGCTCTCAGTGCATGCTCCCTATAGGATTTTATCGCTTTCCTTTATTTCTTGTTGATCGATGAGTCACTCAATTTAGAAATTGAGATCACGACTTCGCTCTCATTGCATGCTCCCTATAGGATAGTTTTGTTAGACTTTCTTCGACATGCCAACCTAGGCAGGATCTCTTTAGGTGTGCTTTTTTGCTGGCTTGCTTGCTTTATCCTTGTACATACCATGTTCCATTAGGATGCACTTGCTCCGTTCGGATGCAAGTTAGACCTTAGGTGGAAAACCATGCATGCTAACATTAGGTAGACGTTTCCCTTTTGTTAATCCAAACCTTAGGACCACCATTGTATGATAACATTAGGTTAGAAATAGGCTAGTCTCCCTTAGACTCTTTTCTTCCCTTTTTGCATCCTTGCATTAAGACAAAAACTTCTTTTCTTAGCAAATCAAAAACATGCTAATCATAGTTAAACCCTTTTTCAAGGTAACAAAAATACAAAACAAATTCAAATTATTTTGTGCGCTCGAGCACCTTTTCTCTAAAACCCTTTTCAGGTAAGGACATGATTAATTTACTTCTGTGCCAACGCATAAGTCTCCAAAGGTCGAGCTGCGGCAGAAGGCGGAATTAACATTGTCCATAAAAAACATAAACAAACAAAAACATATGAGCCGAACTACGGTAGCTCTGATTCCTCAAAAAGGATACATAGGCATTGGGGTAGGGCCCAAGCGAGCACAATTTTATTTTCCCTACATTCTTTTCTCTTTTCTTTTGTATGCATTCCTTTCAGTAGTATAGTAGACAGTAAGCATAGATTAAACACACCCATAAGATAGATAACAAGAGTGGATACCGTAGAGTACTACGGGCGCGTGGGGTGCTAATACCTTCCCCTCGCGTAACAGACTCCCTTACCCGATCTCTCGGTCGCAAGACTGTGACTTCTCCCTTCTCAGGTTTTCTCGATGTTTACCTTTCCCTACATGTGGGATAAAAGACGTTCGATGGCGACTTCATTGTTTTGATGATTTTCAGCCGGTTGTTTCAAGTGTAAAGAAATTTCACACCGCCATTGAATCATAACCGTTAAAATTTTATAATCATTTGACTTTTTCTTTAATCACAAATATATTATTACTTGTGAATGCTTATGATGCCCGAACTTTATAAAATAATTTACATTGACAATGCATAACAATTAATTTCATAATTTATTTACTAAAATTTCAAAAGAACAAGTGAAATGTTGCAGTTTCAAACTCTCGTATTACAATTAAATATCTTTACTAACTAACAATTTGACAGGCTTAATATAACACTTTATTTTCTACAACTAATTCAAATTAAAAATGAAATTCTTGCACTTGCAATACAGATGTCAAGACAAATGTTATGACATCATCTGCTGACAGAAAACACTTGCTAAAACTGGAGATTGTGCAGAAAATAAATTGCAGAAAATTAAAAAACACAATCAATTAGTAATCCAGTTTGGTGCAATCACCTACTCTAAGGGCTACCAAACCAGGAAGAAAATTCACTATGATAGTATTAGTTCAAAGCCTAAACAACCCTAGTTTACAATTTATCGCCTAATCACTATCTTGTGTAACTTATACCTAGACACCTTCTAGATATGAGATTCCTCTCTCACTTCCAATCACCTCAGTGATACCTATAGTCACACACTTGTGACTAGAACAAAATAACCATATAGAAGATTACACTTGAAATAAATAATAGTTAGTTTTTCTTAAAAGCTTAACTAAGAAAAAAACTCAACTCTTTACTTAAAAACTCGTTAGTGAGAACAATCAGTCTACCTCAATGTATCAAAAGATGTATGAATGACATACAAAGAAAACATAAAGACCTTAAAAGACTCCTAAAACCTTAACTCTTATATTGCACCCATGATTTCTTCAATGTGAATGCTTGCTATTTTAGGTTTAGCAAGTCCTTATTTATAGACTCTTGCAGAATGGGCTTGGACTCTTCAAATCAAATCCAATATTCTGTTTTAAATCAACTCCAAGATCTTCACACAAAAATAGGAACAACTCTTCAAATATTCCTAAAAAGTCTCCAATATCATTTTTATGAAATCAAATTAAATATGCACTTGTTTCTAATTAAGTCTCCTTGACCCGCACAGGATAAGGAGATATATCCAAAAGGATCTCACAAAATCAAATAAATTTTGTCAAGAGATATAACAGCATCATCTGCTCTACAACATGCTAAGATGTCAAGACATCTGACTCAACACCAGTTAGATATACATGACAGTAGAATCTGTTATGACAATACTGTTAGTCAAGATGTTGTGACATCTTGCTCAAATGAGTTCATAACCATGTTTTAATAAAATTTATGTCAACCATAAAATCATAGATCTAACAAAAAAAACTACTATAAAATTAGTATATAATATTATTTTCTTTCTTAAAATTGCAACTTTCATATAGACACTAGACACGTTTATTTTCTTCTAATTTGTATATGTGATATCTAACTTAAATTTAGATTTTGAAAATTTAAATTAAGCTTAATTGACACTTTAACCCCCCTATTTTATATTATTTTTAATTTTGATTCCTCTATTTTAAAATTCAAATTTTTAATGTATTTTTAAAGTTTTATTTTGGATTTTAGTCCCAATCCCATTTAAGTGTCATTTTGCATGACATGTCATTTGAATTGATGATGTGGATTGAATTGAGTAGAAAAAATAATTTTTATATTATTTATAATTATTTTTTATTTAAATAATATATAAAAATATTTAATTAAAAAAATTAAAATAAAGTCAAAATAATTAAATTAATATTTTTTTTTTGATAAATCAGCTAATATATTGATTTTCAAACACAAAATAAATTAAAATAAAATATCATAAACGTTCTATTATGATTAATTTAATTTTGTCTCTTATTAATTTGATATTTTCAAAGCTTGTAATTTCTTTTATAAAACTTGTAAAAAGCTGAAGCAATAAAATGGTAGTATAAGTTAATCAAAACTAATCGGGCGCTCACCCTCTTCCTCTAGCCGCCAACCCTCATCTTCACCGTGATGCTCTGATTCCTATTATGAATATCAATGATTTATTCCCGAAAACAACATTCATTCAAACTCCATTCACGAAACCCACCTCTTTCAACGCCCTATTCAAAGATAATGCCTCTCCTCTATAGAAATTAATTGCCCAGGTGCTTCAAGGGGTTTGTGACATCTCGATATCTCAACTGCCGTAATTGGTAATCAAAGGAGACAGACCTTCCATTACAATACCAGAAGAAGAATACAAAGCTGGGCTAAATGAAAGCGAGAACAACCTCCATGGTAGAGTCCTTTGGCCAAAAGGATCTACACCACTCACGGTGGCGGCGATTCGAGTGAAGCTTTCTAAGATTTGGCCGGAAGTTAAAAACTGGGGAATGTTGTTTCTTGGCAAAGGTTATTATGAGCTCACTTTCTCAAGTGCAGAGGATATGAGGAGAGTCAGAGCTCCAGGTTCTATAAATCTGAGTCCAGGTACGATGAAACTCTTTGCTCAGACAAAAGATTTCAATCCGTCTTTGCAACATAACACGGTTGCTCAAGTTTGGGTTCGTTTCTTTGGGATTTCCCAAGAGTATTTGCGACCTCGAATTCTTTTCGCCATTGCAAGTTATGTAAGAACCCCTATATGCATTGTTGTTGCTCTTATAAATCTCGAGTAGATAGAACTTTTGGCCATTTTGTCCGTGTCCTTATTGAAATGGATCTGACTCAACCTATCAACTACAACGTGCTTGTTGAACGTGAAGGATTTGCGTTTTTCTCTAACATTGAGTATCAGAACATGCTTGTATTTTGCTCCCACTATAAGAAAACAGGTCATGAAGTGCAGGAGTGTAAGTTTCTGAGGAAAAACACAATTAATACAAATCCCAAAACCAAACCCACATTTGTCCCAAAAAAATACTGTGAAAATCGCTGAAGTACCGATGATACCGGTTGAGGAAGAGGTAGTCATTGTTGAGAAAAACAATGATGGAACAGAGGAAATTCACCAGGAAAAGAAGGATACTAGAAAGGATATTCCTCAGAGGGAGGTTAATCTTGATGTTTGCAACCCTCTCGATTTGGTGGTCTCGAGCTTGGGTGGTCTCGAGCTTGGGTGGTCTCCACAATCCACTCTACTTTGTCTCTCAAGAGCCAACGACTTCAGATTCTCAAGTTTCTTCATTTATGGATGCTACTCAGGCTTGGGTAGATAAAGGCAAAGATGTTACTACTGCATATGCTAATTTTTTACACAACTTTTGGGAGAATTTGGAGGATCCTGATAACGGCCCTTCGCTCAAAGAGGGTGCTTTCACTACAGCCATTTCTAAACTTAACAGGAAGCAGGCAGTTAAGAAAAAACACACTACTAGGTTCCAAGCAAGCCTTAAGAAGAGTTTCCTATGAAGAGCCTCTATTGGAACATTAGAGGTGTGTCTAATGCTCCTTCTAGATTAGCCTTGAAGAGACTCATAAATATTCACAAGTCGGATTTCATGTTCATAGCCGAACCTAAAATGGATTTCTCTAAATTTCCCAATAACTAGTTTTCCAAGTTAGGTCTCAAATATTTTGCCTTCAAAATCAAGGACCAACCATCTTTATGGTGTTTCTTCCTTAAGGAATTTTCCCCCACTATTATTTCTTCTTCTGTTCAATTTATTGCATTTTCTTTCGAAATGGATAATTGTCAGTTGGCTTGTGTTGTGGTGTATGCTTCTATAAATCTTGTTAAAAGGAGAGAGTTATGACATGATCTTAATGACATTCAAACTAATCATATTATGCCTTTGTCTTTTTATGGTGATTTTAATGCCATCATCAGGGCGCATGACATAACAGTAGATTTTATCCTGCGAGAGGTCCTATGGATGATTTCAAGACATGGATGGATTCCTTTAATCTTATTCACATCCCCACCACATGTGCCAAATTTTACTTGGTCTAACAAGGATGACGTTCCTTTTCTGTTGAGAGGCGGCTAGATAGGTGAATTGGGAACCAACTTTGGTTTGACATCTGTAATCAAATTTATGTGTCGATGCTTTCTAAAGTTAGATGATTGCACAGTGGTGTATTACAACTATTTGTTTTCCTCTAACTCTGTTATTGTGCAGGACTGAAGCATGCTGAATGATACCATTCCTTCCCTTGTCGACGACAACATGAATATTGTCATCACAAGGCTTACTTCTTTGGATGAAATCTCTGCTGCGGTTTCTGCTTTAAACAAAGATAGTGCATCGGGTCCGGATAGTTTTGGGGCCGTCTTCTTTCAAACTTATTGGGATATTGTTAAACAGGATGTCTCGAATGTTGTTCTTGATTTTTTTTTTTTCAATCTGGATGGATCATGCATGGGTTTAACTCCAACAACATTGTCTTCATTCCTAAAATCATGGGTGTTGATACCTTGTATCTTTTTGGGCCTATAGTTATTTCGAATTTCAAGTTTAAGATTATCTTGAAGATTATATCGGATATGATTGCTTCCATAATGCCTTTTTTGGTTTCCCGAGAACAAAGAGGTTTTATTCATGCAAGGCATATTCATGATTGTATTGGTTGGGCTTCTGAAGTGTTTAATTTGCTGGATGCTAAAACTTGGTGTGGAAATTTGGCTCTAAGGATGGATATTTGGAAGGATTTTGATACACTTAATTGGGAGTTCCTCTAGAGAGTTCTTCATAAATTTGGTTTCAACAATAAATTCCAATCTTGGATTAGATTCATCCCCCATTCGACATTTCTGTCCATAAATATTAATGGTGTTTTTGCAGGGTTTCTTTAATTGTTCTTGTAGAGTTCGTCAAGGCGATTCACTTTTGCCTTTTTTGTTTTGTCTGGCCGAAGTGGTGATTCACTTTCGCCTTTTTTGTTTTGTCTGGTCGAAGAGGTTCTCAAACGTAAGATTCTTCAGTTGGTGGCTGCCCGCAAGATGGAGCTCATGGATGGGCCTAAAAACACTATTGTTCCCTCTCATATTCTCTATGCGGACGACATCCTTATCTTTTGTAAAGGAAAAATCTCCAACATCAAGACTCTCATCAACACTTTCAAATAATATACAAAGGTGTCTGGGCAATTGGTTAACTGCATAAACTCTTTCATATTTGGTGGTGCTATGTCATCTTCTCGTCTCAACATTCTTGTGGATTTATTTGACTTTACTATAAGCACCACTCCCTTTATTTATCTTGGCGTGCCTATTTTTAAGGGAAAGCTTAAGAAGGTGTTCCTTCAACCTATCACAAACAAAGTTATCAACAAGCTTGTTTCTTGGAAAGGTTCATTGTTATTATTTGCGGGTTGCTTGAGAAGAATTTGATGCAATCCCTTGAAGAATTTGATGCAATCCCTGAAGAGGTTTCTCGATTGCAATCCCCAAATCTTGCTTTGATTCGTCTTTGATGATTGCATTGACATTAAAAGTGGTTGTATGGAGATATCCTGCACTTTGGAAGATGTCTTGATATTTACTAAAAGCAGACTTCGGCTTCACAACTTCACTCTTACCCTTCAGAGAGAAACACAAACCTGTACCACTTTTGTTCACGGATGGATCAATAACATGTCCCCATACGCTTTTAGGACCTTTCTGCACCACATGTTTATTGCGTCGCGAAAAATCAGAGTCGCCACCGAACTCTATTTATCCCGAAAATGGAAGATATTAAGAGAACCCCAAAGAAATGGATAAGATGGTCTTGCGACCAAGAGAAATGGTACGAAAGTCGGTTACGCGAGGAGAAGGTATTATCACCCCTCACATCTGTGGTACTCTACAGGATCCACTTAAGTTTGTTTTAGTCTAAAGGTGTGTAAAAATCTATGTCTAAAGCTTATTGCTAAAAGGGAATGCATGCGAAAGAAAATACGGGAATAAGAATGAATATTTACAAAGTTTTGCTCGCCTAGGCCCCACAACCTAATGTCTACGTATCCCTTTCGAGGAATCAGAGTGTCGTAATTCGGCTCACATGTTTTGTTTGTTTTGTGTTTTTTAATGGAACAATGTTAAGCTTCACATTCTACCGCAGCTCGACCCCTGGAGACTCACGCGTCTGGAGTAGAAAAGAACTAACATGTTCATACATGACAAGGTATCTTCAAAAGAAAAATTCTCGAAGGAGAATAATGCTTCGTTCACGACTCTTTGGCGAGTAGACATGGTGCAAACCGACCTTTGGGGATTTACGCGTCGTATCGCCTAGAGTAGAACTAGCATATCCTTTTGAGAGTTTCGATGAAAGGCCCGAAGGAGAAAAAAGTTTGGATTGATTTTACCTTGAAAAAGGGTTTTTTTGTTGTAGTTTTAGAGTGTTTTATGAGTTTGAAAGGAAAAGAAGGTTTTAGTTTTAATGTAAGCATGCAAAGAGAAAGAAGATGTTAAGGGAAACTAACTAGTTCTACCTCTAATGTTATCATATGATGGTTGATCCTAAGGTTGAGGATGAAAGGGAAATCCTAACTATGTTATCATACCAAAAACCTAAGGGCGGTGATAACTGTCCTATAGAGAACATGCAAAGATCAAAGTCGTTATCTCAATTCTAATTGAGTGACATCATCGACTGTCAACAAAGGAAAACGATAAAATCCTAAGGGGAGCATGCAAAGATCAAAGTCGTTATCTCAATTCTAATCGAGTGACATCATTGATCGTCAACAAAGGAAAATGATAAAATTCTAAGGGGAGCATGCACAGATCAAAGTCGTTATCTCAATTCTAATTGAGAGACATCATCGATTATCAAAAGAAGAAATCAAACACAAGCACCATTATCAACCAAGTGTGGAATGCCTTCTAAAGATCTTTAAACAACAACTTTGAGCACACACTCTTTATTATCCTACTTCTCATGATATATAGCGATAAAGCATGCATCACTAGTCCTACTTCTCATGGCAAAGAAAGCAGTAAATGATGTAGAAATGAGGAATAAAATAAAGTCATGGTGATACCTAACGGGGAAAGTCTGTTGCCTCTTCAAAGCCCCACAAGCGATAAGAAAACTCTACAGAAACTTCGCACAAGTGATCAAACCAATTAATCTCCAAACATTCCACATCAGAAAAGATTGTCTCACTACTATCACAAAATCTTATCTAAAGATGGCAACAAAAAGATTAATAAACATAAACAATAATAGAAAATTTTAAAATGAAATTCTAGAAAAGTTCTATTATATTCTACCATTTTCTATTATTTTTATTGTTCTTATTTTCTCATAAAATTCACTAATTCTATTAGCAAAAATTGATAAAAAGAATTATAGAAGAATCTAAAGATTATGAATAGGGGGTGCTATCAGCAAGCAGTGGATGTCTGGATTCAGGAGAATCTAAGCTCAACCAAGAAATTGATCCATAACCTGTTTTTTATTGTTCAAAGCAAAGGCTACAAAAATGGTGTAACAGGCCTGCATGGGGGTGCCAGTAATTTGAGGTGTTAGGCCCAATCCAGAGTGGGTCCAGCAGAATTCTTAGCTGCAAGGCAATTGGTGTATTCAAAAAGCGTGTGGTAATGGGCTCACGTGTTTCGGTCCAAGTCCATGTATTTTGTTTTCAGCATCATTATCTCACTTTATTGATTTTTTAAAATAAAAAATCAATTTAAAAAATAAAAATGAAAAAAAAAGAGGATACGGTGTCGTTTGAGAATTTAGGGCAATATTTGTGACCTTTCATCTTCACATAACAGACTCGTCTTCTTCCTCTCCATATTCAGCGTCGCCGTGGAAGCTTACAAGCCACCACGCTCGCGGCCGTTTTTCTTCTTCAATCATCGCTTTCCCTCCTGTTTTGATTCAACTCGTCTTCTCCAATTTTCTTCCATTTTCGTTTCACTCATCTCTGCTGTTACCGATCGTTCCTCCGGTCGCAAGCCGCTAATATCGCCGCACCAGTCAAAGAAACGAATAGTGCAACCCTCCCTTCAATGCTCCGAGCTCCGGTTCACTTTCTACTTTCCTTAAACAGGTCTTAACAAACGCGATTCCTAACCTCTGAACAAGATGAACTCGAAAGAGAATACAACAAACATTCATATATTCGGGAGGAGGACATGATTCCGTAAAGAGTACACACCAATACGGCATGGAGTGTTGAAAGGAAAGAGGATGTCAAGCTTACCTGTCAGAGTTCGTCCGACGTGTCTTCGACGGTGGCGATGAGAGGAGCAGAAAACCAGATATGCTTCTCTAGGTAATATCTTGCAATCCTTTCACAAACCTTCTTCTTCTCTTCTGCGATTTCTTATGCACGTTGTTGTTGTAAGGAAGTTGTTGCGGTTGCGAGTTCCTGATGGAGATTACGTTGAAGATGATCAATGTTGAAGAAGAAATGAAGTGTGACAAATATGATTGGAGGTACAGTGATGTTGTTTTGTAGATAAAGAATTTGCGATGAAGAATTGTTGAGAGATAGAGGAGTATGATGAAGATATAGTGCGGTTGTGAGGTGCCGTGGTTGTTGAGAGAGTACAGAGAGAATTTGAGATGGAGAAGTGATGAAGATGAAGGTAAGAAAGGTTGAGTTATGGTTGATGGTGAAAAATAGAGAGTGCAGAGAATTTCAGATACTTTTGTGGTGTGCTTCTCCTGAACGTGAAGAATGAGAATTGAAAGAGATAAATTATGTTTTATATTTCTGTTAGGTGGAAAAAGGTTTGTTACACTAGATTGAATCTTGGCCTTTGATTGTAGATTTCTGTTAGAGAATTGAAGGGTTTGGATCTTGTCTGTTAGAACTGTTTGAAAAGTTTGTTAGGATATTAGTTTGAAATTGGTTATATGAGATTGAGTTAGTTATGGGCTCGGGAATTCTGTTACATGAGCTATCAAATGCTGTCCAAAAAGGGCCTTTTACACTTTCCTCTTATAACTTGCTTCCTTTCTCTTTTGTATTTCTGATTTTCTGTTTCTATTTCTTGTTTACATAATGAGCTGGCACGGTTTTGATTATGAAGAGAAGGTTAAAAGCTAGTTGAAACTGTGATGGGTTGAAGGTTGGAGGTTAGTTTGAAATGAGTTAGGAATTCTGCTAGATGTTAGCAGTTAGAAACTTTGTTAGGGAATTCGGTTAGGATTGGTAGCTTTGGTTAGAAGTTTGTTAGATGGGAGAATGGTGAGCCTTAGGATTTAGAGTTTCTATTAGAAAATCTGAGAGTGTGGATTAGTCGGTTAGAGATTTGTTATGATTTGAAAGTTAGTTAGGGTCTGTTATTGAATTATGGAATTCTATTATACTATAGTGGAATAAGTAAAGCCAGTAGGTTTTCTAATGCAAATAGTGTGCAAGTAAGTTTGGTTTTTGGATGATGGAGATGCAGACCCTAGAATAATGCTAGAATGTCAAATTGATAGGTCTGAACTATATGCAGGTATATGGTAGTTTTGTTGGCAAATGATATTGTGTGCCTTGTGATGCACATCAGGTTTATTATGTAGAGGTATCAGCTTAATGCAGGGCTATCTTGGTTTATGTTTGGATTTTTGTCAACTTTTGTACTGTCTTGTAATGTATGCAGGTTATGGTTAATCGTTGATGTTTAATTGGACTGCTTTGGTTTAATTGTTGCAGGTCATGGTTTGGTTGCAGGTCCACATTTGAATGCTGCTAGATTTGGACAGCGGGTTTAGCATAAGAGTGATGGCATGCTATTGATGTCAAAGACTTGAGATTTTGGCTTGTCATGGTTGTGAAAGTATGAAGCATGATTGAATCTTGAAGACGGAAGCATAAAGGCAAAAGATATTTAAGACTAGGTTTAGGATAGGTTCTTTTTTTATGTAATCTCTTTGCTCTGATGTAATGCCTTTATGTTGTAGTGGTAATGATGTAACTTGGGAGGAAGCCGCTTCAGAGTACTCTTGAAACATAGTTATATGATCTTGTAATTGCTTAAAAATCTTGAAATAGAATTGTACACCTTGAATGAATGTATTGATTTTGAAGTAGCGTATGGGATGATGATGATTTTGACGATGATATGAATCCAATGAGGCATGTGCCAATGTGATCAAGAGATCTTTAAAGTACCATCTCTTTTGCCTTTAATTTTGAAATGTTGATGATATGATATTTGAACAATGGGCATACTGCTTAGATTTCTGCCTTTGGATAAACCATGATGTAAGCCTATGAATGTCTTTGTCTCTTGAAGTATTTTGATGTATCATTTTGCTTTTTGTACTTGTAAATTGAATTCCAAGTAAACCATATAAATTTCAATCTTAACTTGAACAAGATAAAAAACTTGAAGGAACACTTCTAAATCAATCTTCAATGAACAAAATCCATCAACTTGCATCCACTTGCATTGTAAGCAACAAACTCATTCTTTGTATCTTGATTCAATATTTCGCAACTCAATCCATGAACCCTTGACTTAGGGGGCACACAATAAAAATGTCTTAAAGAACTCTTGGAGATGGATGATAAATTCTGAAATAGTGAAGAGAAAACAAACCCTAGCTCTTAACCTTGAGGTATCTCGATGAAGAAGCTTGATGAATTTTGTTAAAGAAGATGCTCAAGACAAATAGGAACATAAAACCCTAGTTCCACAAAACCCTGATTGTAAAAGAAACTAATTGATTCAACCTTGATTGAAGATGAGAGCCTAAAAGCACGGAGAAATCCAATATCCTTGATCCCATGCTAAATTTATTGATTAATGATGTAAGATGTGTTAAATGACCTAATGTAAAGGTAATGCATATGAAAAGTGCTAGATGCATAAGCCAGATAAAGTAAAAGGGTAAAACAAATTTGGGGTATGACAATGTTGTGCATCTTTGAACGAAGTAATAGAATCCTCATTCCTTCTTATATTATCAATAGACAAAGCTTGAAAGTGCGTTCCAACAACGGCTTCGTCAGCTTCTACAATGCTAAAGGAAGATAGATGAGATATCAGTAGAGCTTTTCACCATCTACAATAACCACCTTTCCTTCACGGAAAAACTCCAGCTTCTGATGATGAGTTGATGTAACGACCCCTGCTTCATGGATCTAGGGTCGCCCTAGCGAGCAACTGTAAGCCGGAAAAATATCCATAACCTGAAAAGTAATTTGGAACATATGTGGACCTACGTGAATGGGCAAGTCTACCTCTTCAATGATCGATTTTCTCGAACCATCGAAAGCTTTGACAATAATGCCACTATGGCACATTGGAGTTCCTTGATACTTGAGTTTTTCCAGAGTGCTCCTCAGAATGGCATTTAGAGCCGATTCGTTGTCTATCAATACATTGGATAAAGAATCATTCTTGCAATTCAAAGAGATGTGTATAGCCATATTATAGTTTCTTCCTTCATCGCGCAGTTCATCATCACAAAAGCTCATATTATTAAACGATGTGATATTCCCCCCCAACACCATTAAACTGTTCAATCGACACATATGCTCGACAAAATCCTGATCCAACACCCTCATCAGAGATTCCCAATGAGCAGAGGAATCCATCAACAAGGCCAAGATAGAGATTTTAGATGGAGTCTGCAACAACTGGTCCACAATCTTATATTCACTTATCTTAATGATTTTCAACAGATCATCAACATCTTTTTCCAAGGCAGAGCCACTAGCTTCTCCTACCGCATTCTTTGGAGAGATAATCAGGGCAGTGTAAGGGGCTATCAGGAGAAAAATTATGACTTTGATCAAGATGAAGATCAGTTTTCCGTTCGGCGTTCAGAGCCGGAAGTTCAGGTTGAGGATAGGAAGTATCGGTTGTTGGAAGAACGTTTGAAGGCTGTGGAAGGGCAATGAGTCCTTGGTATGGATGCTAATGATCTCGGGTTGGTGTCTGGGGTAAAAGTTCCTCCAAAGTTCAAGCCTCCTACATTTGAAAAGTACAACGGAACATCATGTCCTGTTACCCATGCAACTGCTTATTTCAGAAAAATGTCGGTGCATACTAAAGATCAGGGGCTTTTGATTCACTTTTTCCAGGATAGCCTATCTGGCGCATCCCTGGAGTGGTACATGAAGTTGGAAAAAACCCATATTCGTTGCTGGAATCATCTTGCTCGGGATTTTGTCAAATATTATCAGTACAATATGGATATGACGCCTAATTGCACTCAGTTACAGAATATGTCACAGGGACCAAAAGAATCTTTCAAGGAATACGCTCATAAGTGGCGTGAGCTGGCTGCAAGGGTTCAACCTCCACTCATGGAGAGAGAACTCATTGATATGTTTATGAGTACCCTGCAAGGGCCACTCTATGAGAACATGATAGGAAGTACTTCTACATGATTTGCAGACTTGGTTATGGCTGGTGAAAGAATTGAGGTAGGTTTGAAATTGGGGAAATTCAGGTTGGAGGCTCTAGTGGCTCATCAGGAGGCAGTAAGAAACCATTCAACACTTACCCTAAGAAAAGGGAAGGTGACGCAAGTGCGGTTTTCTCTCATAGAGGAAGAAGAGAAGATCGTCAGCACCAACAAATCAATGTTGTTTCTATCCCTGTTAATGCTCCTCTGCATCAAAGATCGAATACAGTGCCTCAACAACAGAGGCAACAAGATGCTCCCCGTCAGTATAATAATCAACAACAGAGACAACCCAAAAAATTTGATCCCTTACCAGTATCTCTTACTGAAGCACTTCACCATTTACTCTATTTGAAGTTGATCGGTTTGAGAAATATGCCACCACCACCCGCAAGACTTCCTCCTAACTATGATGTTAACGCAAGATGTGCATTTCATTCAGACGGAGTTGGTCATTCTACTGACAACTGCTTTGCGTTGAAGTGCAAAATACAAGACTTGTGGGATGCTAAGGCAATTGAGTTTACTCCAGTGACTGGTCCGAATGTTACTCAGAACCCAATGCCTAGGCATGAAGGAGGTGTTGTTAATATGATTGATGGTAATGGTGAAGTGTTGAATTTGATCATGAATGTGGAACAAGTAACTACTCTGTTGTGCTATGTTAAGAGGTATTTGCTTGACAATTCTATTTTCCCGGGTTGCACTTCAGAGTGTGCCAAGTGTAGAGAACAACCGAAGGGCTGTGATGATTTAAAAGCTGGTATCCAGTTGATGATAAAGGAGGGTTCCATGCAGTTCGATAGAAAACCGAGCTACCGTAAGGTTACCGAAGAAGATATTGTTGTGGTATCTATTCCTTACACCCCTGTGCGCATTCCTTCCCCATCTAGGGCACCTCCTTTGATGATTACGGTACCTGGACCCATACCGTATACCAGTGAGAAGGCCATCCTATGGCATTACGGTGCCGATGTTTATTATCACGGGGTGAAGCAGGAAGTAAGTGCTCGTTTGTCTGAAGAAGAACGTACTGAAGATAATGAAGAGGAAGTTCATAACTTTTCTGGTGTGGGTCGAATGACTAAAAGTGGGAGAGTATTTGGTCCTTCCAATGTGCAAGATGCAGAAGATGCTTCTGCAAGAGAAAAAGGAAAACAATAGGCGATAATTGGTAATCCAAGGGTTACGCCAGCCAATGTGACTCAACCAATTCTGATACCAGAAGCTTCTTCGGTTCCCGATGAGGTTGAAGAGTTGATGCGAATTATCATAAAGAGTGATTATAGCATAATTGATCATCTGATCCATACTTCTTCTAATATGTCTATCTTGTCTTTGTTGATTTGTTCAAAACCTCATAGAAATGCTTTGATGAAATTGTTAAAGATTGCGTTCGTGCCATATGAGATAACAGTTAATCAGTTTGAGAATGTTTGTGCTAACATATCTGCCGGGAACGGTATGGGCTTCACAGATTTTGATCTTCCTCCGGAGGGGCCAGACAATAACAAAGAGTTGCATATTTAGATGGAGTCCAGGGGCACTACTTTATCCCAGGTTTTGGTGGATACAGGGTCGTCTTTGAATGTATTGCCCAAGTCAGCATTGATAAAGATTGATTATTCTGGACTGGAGCTGCGCCCTAGTGATTTGATGGTGAAGGCATTTGATGGGTCTCAAAGGTCAGTGTTTGGGGAAGTAGAATTACCAATCAAGGTTGGTCCGTGCACCTTCACGACTACTTTTTTTATGATGTATATACAGCCAGCGTATTGTTTTTTGTTGGGGAGGCCATGGATTCATAGAGCAGGGGCAGTCACTTCTACTCTTCATCAGAAACTCAAGTATCCTGCAGAAGGAAAGGTAATAACTGTGTGCGGAGAAGAAGAGTACATCGTAAGTCATTTGACATCATTCCTCTATGTTGAAGTTGAAGGCGAGATACATGAGACTCCATTTCAGGCGTTTGAGACAGTTCATGCTATCAATTTTCCTCCTCCAGAGCATAAAAGGAAACCGGAAACTGTTATGTCTTCTCTCAAGGATGCGAGAGCTGTGGTGGAAAATGGAAACCCTGAAGGTTGGGGTCAGGTGTTGGACGTTACTTCGAAATTTGATAAATTTGGTCTTGGTTTTAGCCCAGGTCAGCAGAGTGCAGTTCCCAGAGCATCTAGTTTATTTACTCCTGTGAAGTTTTCTCGTCCTTGTGCTACTCAAGAAGGACACGTCAATGCAGTTGGCGACGATAGGGTTGATGGATACAATATCGAAGATTGGATTCGTCCGAGTATTCCAGGCCAGACACTCAACAATTGGACTTTTGTGGATGTTATCCAAGTTTCAAGTGCTGAGGAGTAATTTTCTTGTTTCTTTTATTATCATATCATAATTCCTACGCTCTGCCCAAGGCGTAGTGGATCATTTATGTAGGGCCACCATGTTTATTTTTCAAGTTTATCATGAAATAAAGGACGTTTTTGCATTCAAAATTTTGCTTCATTTCTTTTTATTTAAATGACAATGTTTCTCTTTTCACACACTATCACTAAAAAACGCCAAAATGTCATTTATGCAGATGCACTTCCACCACCGATCATATTGATAACGACTCTGCTATGGCTCATTATGACTTTGATACTCCCATTTATCAAGCTGAAGAAGAAGCATATGAGGATTGTGACCTTCCTGGGGAATTAACAAGATTGTTAAAACAAGAGGAGAAAGTTATCCAGCCGAATCAGGATTCGATT